AGCTAATGATGAAATGCCTAATAAGTGCGATAATAAAGAGCCCGAGCAGAAAAGAAACTTCAGATCGGAGGAGACACAAACTGATTTAATCGATAGACCCTCAATGCGTCGAACTCTGCCAAGGTTAGCACTCTCCTTTACAGTGAGAAACTTTCCTAGGGGATTCAAGAAAAACAAAGAAAATTTCCCACTAAACTTCCTCAGATTTTTCTTTTGTCTGGATAGGATATCTCTATGTCTCAAATTGGCAGCAACGGGAGGAGACGAATGCATCGGTTGTTCATCTTTTGAAGGTGATACTATTCCATGCATGGAAGCATTCCAAGGGTATAAGCAAGGATCGTTCGGGTCATTTTATTCCTAGCCCCGTACTGAAAACCTCACATCCTATCAAATAACGCTTTTGCTGGATAGTTAGAAAACTGAGAGATGAAACCTAAACTAAATCTTTCCAGGACAATCTCCATCTACGATTTTCCATCTATGAAAAATTCGATGGAAAACCCACACAAAAATGCTGAACTTGTCCATGAGCTTACTCCAACTCATCAATGCGTTATTGCTGATAGAAATTCTGCTTCACCTTCTGACATTTTCCAAGACAAGAAACATTCCCCAATTCCAGTTGCACTTGTCCATCCACTACCCAGCACACCCACAGGCGAGGATAATTATGTCATCAATCCAAAAAAAGACGACGCAAAATAGCGCTTTTTAGGTGTATGGATCAGGAAACACCCTCAAAAGTCGAGTGGAGTCGTGCTTGAGGATGATCACGCGGCATCATCAAAACAGCAAAAATATTCGCGTGAAAAGTCTCCAGATTTAATTCGAAAGGTCACCATTGACAGAATTATTGAGGTGAAGGACTTAAAAATATTTACGAAATTGTGTTTATCCATTTATTGCTAATAAGCAATCGCAAGAAGGTCTAATAGCTCCATAGTTAAAAGAAAATAAAGTTTAACGCGGTTTGGCTTGAACATGTAAGAGTTTCTGCATGACCTTTAGTGGTCTAGTAGTGTAGATAGTTTCATAAAAACCAATTTTGTAAAGAATATTTGAATTTATATGATGAA